CAGATTTGCTTGTCTGGGAATGTCTATTTTTCCTCCATTTCTGATGGATAGCTTTGTTGACTGTAACATCTTAGCTGACAGTTTTTAAAAAAATTTCAGCACTTTAAATATGCCATCCTATTCTTTCTTCTGCTAAGAAATCTGCTCATAGTCTAATGAATATTCCCTTAAATGTGACTTGACACTTTTATAGCTTTTAAAATTCTGTCTTTGAGTTTTGACAGTTTTATTATAATGTGCCTTGGAAGGGGTTTTTAAAGTTGAATTTAATTGGGGACCCTTGAGATTTCTGAATATGAATGTTCATATCTCTCTCAATACTTGGAAAGTTTTCAGCTATTATTTCATTAAAGAGGTCTTCTGTGTCTTTCCTCATTTTTTCTACCTCTGGAAATGCTATGATGCAAAATTTACTTGCATAATAATGTCTCATAAGCCCCACAGATCTTCTTTATTCTTTTTAGTTCTACTTTTTTTTGTTCCTCTAAGTTGTTTCAAAAGACTGTCTTCAATTTCAGAAATTCTTTATTTTGCTTAACATAGTCTGTTGAAGTTCCTAATTGTATTTTTTTTTATTTCATTCTTCAAATTCTTTGATCCCAAGGTTTCTGGTTATTTTTATATCTATCTCTGTTGAATTTCTCACTCAGATTCTATTTTTTTTTTCTTATTTTATTGAATTGTTTGTGTTCTCTTGTAGCTCACGATGCTTACTTAAAATTATGATTTAGAATTATTTTTCAGGCATTTGGTAAATGTTCCTTTCTCTGGGGTCTGTAACTTGAGACTTACGTGTTTCTTTGGGGGTGTCATGTTTCCTTTTTTTTTTTTTATGTTTCTTATGCCCCTATTTAGATATCTGTGTATCTAGTGGAACAGTCTCTCTTACTAATTTTATAGAGTAGCTTTCATAGGGAGAGACTTTTTTTCTGTAGATGGGACCTTGAGTGTTGGTTTAATATGGTGTGATAGCTTTGTTTTTGGGTGGACAGTGTGTTTTCCATGCATTTTTCTTCAGCTGTAATCCCTGTCAGCAATATCTGCAAATGTCTCAGTGGTACAGGCTGTAGGAATTCTTGATGGCAGTAGAGTGGTTTTGCTAGGGTACATGTTCTGGGCCCATTGGCAGACTGGTGGTTTGCAGGCACAGAAGACTGACTGGCTTTCCATTGGGCTCTCTGGATAGTTGGTAGCTGCTGCCAGATGCCTATTGGGCTATGCTTGGGGCACAAGGGTGTGGCCAACTGGAATGCTGTGTGGTTTTTTCTCCAAAGAGATAAGGCTACAGCTAGACTAGATGTCAGGCTAGGCATGCATAGGCATGGCAGTGTTGGGAGGCTCTGTGGCAGTCTGTTGGGGGACAGGTCTACCTTAGAAACAGCTATTTGGCTGGGTACAGGTGCACACATTCTTGGCAGGTCATCTGGCTGTGGGTCATGGGTGTGTATGGCAAAAGTAGCTGACCTGCTGTTTGATGGCTTCCATACTGTGAAGATTTGCCTGTTCCTTGGAGACAGGGTATATCACATGGGTTTGGATACTGAGGTCTTGATTATTCCTTCTGGCCTCGGCTCTGGACAGCTGGGGTCATTGTGCTGCAGGCACCTGTGTGAACACAGTGGAATGATGGTGTGGCCTCAGGAGTAGAGAGAATTCAGTTGCTACCAGTCCCTAGAAAAGGATGCACTTTACTAATGGGTGCACTTCTAAGGCAGCACCAAGCTATAGAAGCTTAAGCCACAAGGGTAATGAGTGCTCAGTTTAGACTTCTACTCAGACAATGTAGCTGCATGAGCTCCTGGTTACTCTGCAAACTGGATTTGGTGCCTGTGAAGACTGGGTGACTTTCCTCTAACAAGGATAGCTGGCATTTGGTGGCAATGGGAGTTGTTGAATATCTAAAGCTCAACTTTTCCCAGTAAGAAGTCCCTCCTGACTCCAAGTTGATTTTGGTGGGAGAGACAGTGAGGCAGGAGCAGCAGGCCTCACTTTCCTCTCTCTGATGCTATCCTGGGCTTCTCTGCTCTATAGAGATTTTGACACTCCCCTGGTTCTCTCCAGCATACTTCTTCAGCCGGTCTAGTCAAAATATAGTTGTTTATTTGTTATTTCCGTTTCCTTATGTTAGGAGGATGAGTCCTGGCTAACTCTAGGTTGCCATCTTTCTGACTTCACAGAGGCTCTTGATTCTGTTACATTGGTATATGTATCTGTCTTTATGCCAGTACTATGTTGTTTTAATGTTGAAATCAGAAAAGATGCTGTCTCCAGCTTTGCTCTTGTATCTCAATGTTTCTTTGGCTATTTGGGATATTTCAGAGTTCCAATGAATTTTGGGATTATTATTTCTACTTCTGTAAAAAAAAATTGTAATTTTGATAGGGATTGCATTGAATCTGTCAATTGCTTTGTGTACTATGAACATTTTAACAATATTGTTTCATTACATGAACATGAGATTTATTGATGCCTGCTTAAACTTCTTTTAAATTTCTTTCATCAGTGTTTTTTATAATTTCTGGGATACATGTGCAGAACCTGCAGATTCGTTACATAGGTATACATGTGACATAGTGCTGTGCTGCACCCATCAACCCATCATCTACATTAGGTATTTCTCCTAATGCTATCCCTTCCCTAGACCCCCACCCCTGACAGACCCGGTGTGTGATGTTCTCCTCTCTGTGCCCATATGTTTATTCAACTCCCATTTATAAGTGAGAACATATAGTGTTTGGTTTTCTGTTCCTGTGTTAGTTTGCTGAGAATGATGGTTTCTAGCTTCCTCCACATCCCTGCAGAGGTCACGAACTCATTCTTTTTTATGGCTACATAGTATTACGTAGTGTATATGTGCCACATATTCTGTATCCAGTCTATCATTGATGGGCATTTGGGTTGGTCCTAAGTCTTTGCTATCCTCCTTTATTGGTTTGTTTGCACTGTGCTACTATTTCTTTGTTCATTTGTTTTAGATTGTTTCCTGCCTCTACAATAGAATACCACAGATTGTGTAATTTATAAATAATAGAAGTTTATTTGGGTCAGAATTATAAAGGCTGGAAAGCCTATGAGCAGGGCAAGCATCATCTCATGGCCAAAGTGTGGAAGGCAGAAGTGAGTGTGTGTGTGTGTGTGTGTGTGTGTGTGTGTGTGTGTGAGAGAGAGAGAGAGAGAGAGAGAGAAAGAGAGAGAGAGAGAGAGAGAGAGAGAAAGATAGCAAAAGAGAAAGTGAGATAGCAAGAGTGAGCACCACAGCAAGAGCGAGAGTGAGCAAGCGAGTGAGCGAGAGAGAGAGAGAGAGAGAGAGAGAGAGAGAGAGAGAGAGATCAGGCCAAACTCTTTTATAACAAACTTAGTGTTGCAATAGCTAACCCATCCTGTGATGATGACGAGCCCTCATGACCTAATCACTTCTTAAAGGCCTCACCTCCCAATACAGTTACATTGGAAATTAAATTTCTACATAAATATTGGAGGAGACATTCAAACTATAACACCATTCTATCTACATCACTTACTATGTTTTCAATAGTCTACTCTCTTTTTTACTGCTTCTAATTTAACCTTAGTTTTTCTGATAGATTTTCTCACTTCAACATTTTTCTTGTTCTATAAAAGAAGCAGAGCTGGTGTTGGGTGTGTATTCATTCTCTAGGACTACTGCAATAAAGTATTACAACAGAAATGTATTGTCTCATAGTTCTGGAAGCTAGAAGTCCAAGAAAGACCAGGCTTTCCCAAAAATCTAGAAAAATTTATCCGTGCCTTTTTTTAGGTTATGATGGTTTGTCAGTGATCTGAGGTGCTTGTTAGTTTGTCACTGAATCGCCCTAATCCTCTGCCTTCACATGCTCTCCCTGTGTCTTTAAATAGCCATCTTTTAATAAGGACATCAGTCACATTGTATTAGCAGGCCAATCTACATGAGTATGACCCCATCTTATCTAATTACATCTGCAACCACTCTATTTTCAAATAAGATCACATTCAGAGATACTGGGGATTAGGATCTTGTATTTGTCTGTTTTCATGCTGCTGGTAAAGACATGTCCAAGACTGGGTAACTTATAAAGAAATGGTGGACTCAGTTCCATGTAGCTGGGGAGGCCTCAAATCATGGCAAAAGACAAAAGGTACCTTTTACATGGCAGCAGGCAAGACAGAATGAAAATCAAGTGAAGGGGTTTCCTCTTACAAAAGCCATCAGATCGCCTGAGACTTATTCACTACCATGACAACAGTATGGGGGAAAACACCCTCATGATTTAAGTATCTCCCACAGGGTCCCTCCCACAACACATAGGAATTATGGGAACTACAAATCAAGATGAGATTTGGGTGAGGGCACAGCCAAACCATATCAGACTTCAACACGTCTTTTGAGGGAACACAATTCACCCATAACAAGGTAGATCTGCTCTATGCTCCTGATTTTGACAAATCTTGTTTTATATAATTGTTTCGTTAAAAAAAATTGGATAATCTTGAGAGGTTGTATGTTTCCAGGAATTTATCAATTTCCTCTAGGCTTTCTAGTTTGTTTGTAGAAATAGTCATAGTAGTCCCTAATGATCTTTTCTATTTCTGTAGTATCAGTTGTAATGTCACCTTCATAATTTCTAATTTTGCTTGTTTATAAATCTTTTCTCTTTTTGTTCAATCTAGCTGGTGATCCATCAATTTTATTATTTCAAAAAAACAATTTTTTTTTCATCCTGTGTATTTTTTGGTGTGTTTTTTAAAGGTATCCTGAACAGGCCAGCAATGAAGGTATATAATAATTTATATAATTTGAATGTTTGTCACCTCCAAAACTCATGTTGAGACTTAATCCCCAAGGTGGTAGTTTGAGAGATGGGCCTTTAAGAGGTGATTCATGGATTCATGTGTTAATGAGTTATCAGAGGAGTGGGACTGGTGGCTTTATAAGAAGAGGAAGAAAGACCTGGACTAGCACGCTCAGCTCCCCTGCTATGTGATGTCCTTCACTACCACAGGAACCCACAGTGAGTCCTCACTAGCAAGAAGACCCAAACCAGATGTAGCCCCTTGACCGTGGACGTCTCAGCCTCCAGAATTGTAAGAAATAGTTTTTTTTTTTCTTATAAGCTACCCAGTTTGGAGTGTTTTGTTGTAAGCCAGAAGAAAATAAACTAACAAACTAATTCTGTTTTAGAAATAATGAGCTCCCACATTTTAAAGTGATGCCTGAAACAAAGGTGAGAGAAGAATTAACCAGTCATGACATATTAGGCATTTCATTTACAACATGGGGGCTGGGAAGAGAATGAAAAATTGCATCTAAGTACTTAGTGGGAGCTGACTAAAATTTTTTCTCTAATATAAGCAACCTGAGTGGGTGACACTTATAGACAACTTCATTTGACAGACTATGTTTCTTTTTACCTTCAAGTTCATCATTAACCTTGATTTTAAAAGAAAAGAGGGCTTCAAACATGTACTTACAAATATGTCATTTGCTAACGGTTGAAAGACAGACTCTCATTATATGCAGTTCCAAAAATATCACTACTAGAGGTAGTCATTTGGAAGCTTGTCCAACCATTAAAGAGAAAAGAAGGTATTAACTTCTCATCTTTGTCTATTGGTTTCATTTATTGCATGGTGAATTAAAGGAGATAATAAACCTTTAGTTATCTTCTCTGATTACAAGTACAGAATTTGGGTGCTGATATTTCAGTGGTAGTTTGTGTTCATGAATGTCCACAGCTTTGAATAGAAGTTATCACATCAGACTCTGTCTGCACTCACAAGTCAGGACAGTCATAAATAACAATGAATTAAAGGAGCTGGATATAGCAGGGGATTTCATGTACTCCACATTCAGCTTAGCTTATTCCATCTAGCCCTATCTTAAAACATATGTGGAGTAACTTCTTCTTTGGGGACTTTCATTAGGTTGTGAAAAACCTGAAAAGTCTGCTACAGAGTAAAGTATTTATTTCATATTCCTTTTCTAGTTAAAAATATGGTGGGAAAACCTGTTTTAATATATAAATACATGAAAAATATTGGAATATTTTAAACAGCATTGATTTAGCAATCAACCTTAATCTTATATTGAAATGTTTCTTTAAACGTTTGAACATAAGCTGATTTTGGGATAGCAGTGACCATTACTTGAGAATATCACATGCTTAGCACTGTCCATACCTGAGAGTGGCTTACATATGTATCCTGTCATCAAATTTCTATTTTAACTATAACTGCTTTCTGTACATATTCTACATTGTTAGCAGTGTGTAATGAATTTATCATTAAATCATCATCCTGTTAAACAGGATTGGATAGAAATATTCTCAGGTGGTACCACAAAAACAGCCTAGGGCAGGTACCACAAACTTTTTACACAGGGGGTCAGTTCACTGTCCCTCAGACCATTGGAGGGCCAGACTATGCAAGGTGTGACACCCTTCACAGCCAGCGCTGCTGCCTCCACGATCCCAGACAGCGGTATACAGTGTCACAGGCCCAGCACCGCCTCCAGTGCTGTATACAGGAATGGCGGCGATCAGCCTGTGACACTGTGTATACAGCGTCCTGGACATCTGCAGCAGCGGTGGGCCTCTTCTGTGGGAAGCCCACTGCTGCATGTTTCCCCTATTATAAGACACCTAAAAATAAGACAGCCCCCGTCTTTTGGGGGTAAAATTAACATAAGACAGGGTCTTAAAATAGGGGAAACATGGTGTGTAGTAATGTGTGGGGAGACTTTTGGGCAAAGGGAGGTTATAGGGGCCATTATGTTGTTGTACATTTGGGGGAGTATGGGGGCCATTGTACTGTGTAGTAATGGTTATAGTGCTTTGCCTTTCTTCCTACTTCTGCTGTTATTTCACACTGCTTCCGGTGATGTGGGGCCCCGCAGCCGCAGACCGGATGTGCATCATATGACGTGCTTCCGGAGCCGTGACACGTGTATCCTGCATCACCTGAAGTAGTACTGTATGTGAGCAATGCTGTGCTTTGCAGTGCCACCACATACAGTACTCCAGTAGCACAGGTTACAGATGCATCACTGACCACCAATGAAAGAGGTGCCCCTTCCTGAAGTGCAGTAGGGGCCAGATAAATGGCCTCAGGGGGCTGCATGCGGCCCATGGGCTGTAGTTTGGGGACCCCTGGCCTAGAGTACATATTCAATTCTTAAAGGTGTTATACTATGAAAAGTTATATTTTACTCCAAGCTATTAAAATTATTCTGTGTCACCAGCGCAAGAGTACTATAGTACTTTACAGCACAAAATTTCTATAAGAGAAAAGTTTTTGGAGATTATCTAAAAGCTTATAATCAATAGAATAAATAAATCCATAAATATTGCTCTTTAACTCCAGAGCAACTGAAACAGTATGTTGAATTAAAATTGAAGCAAGAGCCCACCAACATTATTATAACACTTTGTCTAAAACAATTGCTTTATTCCTTTAAAGTCTTATGGGCTCTCAAGTCACAATTTAACAGCATGACTAATGATATACTAAAGACTCAAAAGCAAATTTTTTATAAAGGGAGGGAAATGGCAGCTATAAATTTATTGTGATTCAAAAATTCAGCAAAATAGTTAAACCACTAAAATATAGCATTATATGTTATCTTGGAGTGAATATAATCATAACTTATTTAAATTATAATATATAAACACTTAATCCTCTAGGGCATATTTAGCAGTGGAAAGATTGAAAGATAATGGATTTGGTTTGGAAAATGCTGATGGACTTGTGGAATAATACTAGGTGGTATTCCAGCGATTTTTCAGAGGCAGCAGATTGAATAACTAATATATAAACAGTATTATACTTTAAATGTAACTCTAAACTCTATCATCTATGTTCCTACTTTCTTCTCCTCCTTCCACATGTACACATTACTTGATGAATTTAAATGAGAAGAATCATGCTGTTATATGCTCATCTTCCTAAACAGAAATCTATGTAGAAGAAATTGGAGATTGCACTGCTACACAGTATCCTCTAGTATGGATATAAAATGGTCCATTTTATTTCTCTGCTATAGATGAGCATTTAGTTCTCTCCAGGTTTTAATTTTGCATGAGGTATATACAAGCAATGCTGCAATGAACAGACTTCTCTATTCTCTTTCTTGCACACACAAACATTTATGTAAGGTTGGCAGCCAGGGCAAATACAAATCAAAAATAAGAGGCTTAATTCTGTCTGGTGAAAATAAGGAAAGAGATTCTCCCAACAGTCCGTCCCAACCCTCACCCACCCTTTTCTGAGAATACCTACATCAGAACCCTTGTAAGTTCTTTGTCTTCTTGCAATGTGTGCACATCTTTTCAAGAACTAAATTACCCCATTTCCAGCTTTATCTGGGACCTGGGAGTACCATCTCTGAGAAATGTACAAAGACAGTGGCCCTATCTCCCAGTTTCTGTAGCAGGGTAGAAGCCTTACTTTGCTGGGCACCTGGCACCAAGTTGCAAATCTACCAACTGGCATAAAGATATAAGAAGTTGAGTTTTCCTTCAGATAAAGCCAGTTGGCTAACACAGATCATCATCTCAACTACCAAGTGAATTTAAGATGAACTTTGTATAGAAAATGACTGTTATGGGCCGGGCGCGGTGGCTCAAGCCTGTAATCCCAGCACTTTGGGAGGCCGAGGCGGGTGGATCACGAGGTCAAGAGATCGAGACCATCCTGGTCAACATGGTGAAACTCTGTCTCTACTAAAAATACAAAAAAATTAGCTGGGCATGGTGGCGCGTGCCTGTAATCCCAGCTACTCAGGAGGCTGAGGCAAGAGAATTGCCTGAACCCAGGAGGTGGAGGTTGCGGTGAGCCGAGGATCGCGCCATTGCACTCCAGCCTGGGTAACAAGAGCAAAACTCCGTCTCAAAAAAAAAAGAAAAAAAAAAGAAAAAAAGAAAATGACTGTTATTCGATTAAGCACTGGTATTATCTTGAGAACATGTATGTAATGTATCAAATCTGTGGGCCATATTAAAGAATAAGTTTTCTGTCTTTACAGTGTCTTAGAGTATTGCCTATAGTGCATATACATTCCGGTTTAGTACTTATTCAATAATAAAACCACTTCCTATCCTATCTTTGTGAGGAAGTTTTATTTATCAGAAAGGGGTTTTGTTTTATCCTTAATTAATCCTTTTAATTAATAAGGTATTCTGTACTTCTTGCCAATCTTAGCTAGTGTGTACATTTTTATATGTGTCTGTGTGTGTATATATACATATACACACATATATATGCAATTGATTTTTCAAAGTAAATAAGTCAGAGTATTCTTTTCTTTCTTTTGGCTATTTATGCAGCTCACCCTAAATTCAAGTTTTATGTTCAGGTTATAAAAAAAAAGTGTGGCAAGACTTTAAAAGTAATGGGAAATAGTTTTATTTCTAAACTGTAGGAAATAGTAAATATAACAAACTATCTCACATGAAAAATAATCCTCAGTGTTTACCAAAAACAATTTATTTAAGGTATTACTGATGCTTAAAATTACCCTGAGAAGTTAATAAAAATCGTAAAGATGGGTAAGGAAAGTGCAATACTCCTGATTTTGAATCTACTGTTAAGGGAATTTAAACACAATGAATTTCTTGCAAAAATGAAAATCAATATATCCAAAAGAAAATTCCAAGCAGACTGCAATCTTTTTCTGAAACTACTTAGGATAAGCTTTTAACACCATTGAACTTTGAAATACAAAAAAAGGTTGAAAATTTGTATCTAGAGTAGAAAAAAGTTAAGTATGAAACATATTTAAGAAAGCAAGATTTAACTCAACATTTAAAAAATAAACAGGTGTTATAGTCATTAAATGATACGTATTACTTCAATCAGGGTCTTTTACTTTTTCACCTCAGAAAATCTGGTGCTAGGTCAAAAGGGTTTTTTTTCTTACTTAAGTAGCATATAAACATATTTGTGATGTCTAAGCAAAACTTATGCTTAATGAAAAAATAACTACATTTTATGGACCATGACAACTATTATTTATTCTCAGAACATAGCTGTCAAAGCAAATGCACTTCTTGCTATGTTTTTTGGTGTTTTGTTTTTGTTTTTGATTTTTGTAGAGACAGGGTCTCTCTATGTTGCTAGGGCTGGTCTTGAACTCCTGGGCTCAAGAGATCCTCCCACCTTGACTTCCCAAAGTGTTGGGATTACATTTTGCCAAGCCTAGGCTTTTTTTTTTTTTCTGTTCTCCATAAATTAATGAATCTTTCCCATCCAAGATCCCGATCCCTTAATGTATAAAACAAATTTGACCAATGTCTCATTTTGCATTAGCATTGGATTGTGTCACAAAACTCCTAAAATTTCTTTGAAGAAATAAGTTTGGATCTTTCCTAAATCAGTAAGTTGGACATGATATAAGTAAGCCCCTAAAAAATAAAAGGCAAAAGTGAACAGTTTCCTAAGGCAAAAAAAGTACACCTCATATTATCTTTCTATTACAGAACTATACGAATTCAAAAGTAAAACTTCAGTCAAAATATTTATTATTTTCCTTAATTGACTTAAATGGTAATGCAAATATTGTGAGTCTGCCTTAAGTTTCCTAGATATTGTACTTTAAATATCCCAGCCCTTATATAAAACCATACACGACCTAGTGTCTTTCACAGTTCATACTAGAAGCTCAGATTTAATTGTATATGCTTTGAAATATACTCTCTCCTTGACTATTGCTATCACAGACATGAGAAGACTAACTCCAGTAAAGAGAATTGCAACCATCATATCACTTAGGCCCTCGGTTATGAACATAAACACCCAGGAAGAAGAGAAGAGAAAAAGGACTAGGGAGAAAGAAGAAGAAATGCTCATTTATACAGTTTCCAAGGGGTATTAACCACATCCAGAAGGAAACATCCATAATACAGATGTGCTGTGAGTACTTTTTCAGTCATTAAGAAGGGCATTTTAATGTACTTAAGAGGAGTGAACACATGCCACACCGGCTATGAATGGTTAAATTATATGTAAGGAAAATAATCTTATGCAAAGTTTCAAACGTTTTTGTTTTGTTTTGCTTTGTTTTAAGAAAGAGGTTCTCACTGTGTTGCCCAGTCTGGAGTGCAATGGTGCAATCACAGCTCACTGCAACCTCAAACTCCCAGGTTCAAGTGATCCTCCTGTCTCACTCTCTTAAAGTGGTGGGATTATAGGCATGAGACACCACACCTGGCCTTTCCAAAGTTTTGACTAGAAAATTGCTAAAGAGAAACCTGAAGTTTTTGTGGCCAATAGAATCTAAAAATCTCCCTCAACAGTGAGAATGCAATAAGATGGCAAAAATAGAGACTGAAAACGACCAGAAGACTGGAGGTAACATTTTATTACCACCTCAGCACTTACACTAAAAGTTTCAACTTGGAAGGCTTACCAAATCCTGAGGAACTGTCATATAAAAAGATGTTTAAAAGGATGTAAACATTATCATCCATATGATGGCAACAATGACAAAAGCCTAATTGTCATCTGTTAAGTTACAGAGCCACTAGCAGAGATCCTTCTTCCAAAGTTCCATTTTCAAATAAGTGCAGGTGTCCAGTGGTGCTGCCTTTTGAAGTGCCATCTATGGGAAGACTCAGAGCTAACATGACATCCGTAACCCATTCTCAGGAACTTATTCAGAGCTGAGGCACTCACAAGAGAAGCAGGAGCCGTATCAGCAACACTGGGATTTGCTCTCTGCTCTCAAGGTCTCTTGATCTAGTTTAATTTTGCCCGCATCGTTGTCTTCATTAGAAAAGCTTTGGTGGTTTGCAAGAATATTCTCCACTAGGAACCGGGAAGCTTCATCTATGTTTATGTTATCCTGTGATGCAGAAATGAAGAACAGGATTAAATTTTAGGATTAATTCTTAGAATAAGGCATTAAGAGTATGAATGGGAACTAGGAAAATGAGTTAGAGGTGGCATTGTAAGTGCACAGCTACTTTCCTCTAATACTAAAGTATGTGCCCATTAAGAGCTGAATGCTCCAGAATAATGCAGCAATGAAAGAATTCCCTTATTTTTATAAAGGATGCCTTTTCTGATGTTCCTATCTTAAACCTTTGCCACTGAGGTCCAATGAGCTATCCTGATGGTTGAAAATGAATCTTCACCCTGCTATGGGCTGCAATTCATATAATGAGGCATTCCGAATTAAAAAAAAAAAAAATCCTGCCCTTGAATATCTAATTAAAGTATTCAGGATACATTGTGAAAAAAAACTGAAAAAGGCTCAAACCACATTAAAATACGATAAATGTATCATGTCACTTCTCCATCGCTAAGTATGAATTATTCCTTTTAGTTGCCATGCATAAATTAGCTTGAAACAATGTTGTAAGTGCAAATGTCCATTAAGGACACCCTAAGGATTTATTAGCTGTCACAGCATTTGTGTGACTGAATTATAAGTTATCATTAAATACACGGTAAGTAACACATTGCAAAAATTGTGCTTATTTTTAAAAATATTTAACTGTTCATTTTTAAAATAATTTCAGATTTACAAAAACATTGCAAAAATAGTAAACATTCCTACCATTCACACATATTTCTCAGTGTTAACATCTTAGATAACCAGAATACAACTATCAAAATCAGGAAATTATATAATAGTGTTATATCAGTGTCAGTCTAACAAGCTTACTCAAATCACATCAGTTATCTCAACACCCTATTTCAGACCCAGGATCACAAGCTGTACTTCACTGTTGTCTCCCTGGTCTCTTTTACTCTGGAGTGGTTCCTCAGTCTCCTTGCTTTTCACAACCTTGACACTCAGAGCGCATTGGCCGGTGAATATACCTCCATCTGGGACATCTGATGTTTTCTTATCATTCAATTCAACTTAGGTATTTTTTGGCAGGAATAAAACACAAGTGATGTGCCCTGCACAGTTTATCAGAGAGCACACTGCTTCAAGTTGTTTCTGCGAGGTTTCTCCACAGAAAAGTTATTATTTTTCCCTTTGTACTTAGAACAAGTATGTAAATATCCTGTTTCTCACCACACTTTTCCCCACTGATTTTAGCATCAATTAATTCTTCCCTACAACAATCATCACTGTGGTGTTTAATGGTGACTTTTTATTTCTGCTATTCCTTCTCCATTTATTAGCTGGAATTCTATTGTGAGAAAGAGGTTCTCTTCTTCCCCATTTACTTATTCATTTGTTCATTTTTTATCATGGATTATTACTTTATAAGTTGAACCCATTGCAATAATTATTTGCTTTGTTGCTAGAATTGTCTTACATGTTTGGAGCTTGTATGGTGGTACCCTGTATCTTCGTGACATGTCCCCATCAATTTGTGAGCACTTCCTTAGTTTCCAGCACCATGAAATATTTAAGGCATATCTTTACTTTTCTTATCCCAACTGCCCTAAAATCAGGCATTTCTTCAGGGATTTCCATTCTTTTTAAATGAATGATATTTAAAAACCGTGTATTTTGAGCACTAGGTAAGTTCATTGGTTCTGTGGTGTCCTTGCTTTTAAGCCCTCTCAGCAGATATGGCTAGTAAATATACGTATATATCCACACATGCACCTATATCGACTTCTTTATCTCTTTGTTTACACATGTGTCTACATACATGTATCTATACACACACACATATGCATATACTCTCACACACACACAATCACATATGAAACCTGAAGCTCATATTAATGTCTAATCCAATCCAGCCCCGCAAGGTTCTTTGTAGCCTTTTTCCTTATTTGTAAAGCCTTTCTTAGACAACAAAAAAACCTAAAAGAGTTGTGCTATTTACAGGCATCTTTCATAGCACTGAAACAAGTTTTTTATTTATTTTTACCTCCACTCCCAATGTAAGTGTTAACTTTAATTCAAGTATCGATCTCATGAATGTCCAAGTGACATTCAGTCCCCACTATCCCCATCATATCAAATAAATATAAAATTCCCTAACTGCATTTGGAAGCAGTTGATTAAAATTCCAATATGTTATTGTAATTAGTCACATGTTAGTGTAATTCCCATACTTTAATATAGTCATAAAGTTTCATATTTCATATTTGCCATAAAGGTGAAATAATGAAATTTATTTGCAAAAGTTGCCTATGTTTCTAGTAAAATTCAGATGACTTCAATTCAGGCAAAAGTCAGATCTGAAGTTAGCTGCTGGCCAGCTCAGAAGTGTACCTATTAGGGACATGTAGGCAGTACTTTAAGCCTTAACTCTAAGATGTTTAACCTAAATTTTTAAGATTACTGTTATTCTCTTAGAACACTCCTGCTTTACGGCTAAGGAAATTCCATAGAAGCTGCTTCTATTACATTTGTAGGGACGCACAGGGCAAACTTGAAACTTTTAACCCATGTTGCACCTTTCACCTCTGCGTGTAATCCGATCCATACATATGATGAAACTGATGACTTACACAGTCTCAAACTGCAAGTCACATGATGTGTTACATCTGAAGGCAAATCTGGATTACCTGAAAGATTAAATAAAGCCTAAAGGGGAATTTTGTCTATCACTTGTAAAACTCCTCTACCAAAATGCATACTCGCATAAGCACTTATATTTACTGCCTTTTTTTTTTTTAACAGCAAGCTGTTGAGTAGAGCAAATCCCACAACAGGCATACAAAGCAGACAGAGGGCATGAGTGACAAGAATAAGTCCTTCTCTCTAAGAAGCCTGTCCTTCTGTGACTTTCTCCTTCATGTCAGGTTAAGTGCTCCCATAGCATCTCTGGGCTTCATCTTTAATCTTTCTTCTACCACATTTTATTTATGAAAAGAAATTTTAAGATGCTATATTTTTTCAAGCAATTAGCTTCTAGCTTAGAAGTGTGCATTTCTGCTTCCAGGAGATAGTCTTTTTTTCCTAGTGACTCCACCATTGCCCAGTTTTGGAGCAGTCTCTCTTTTGTGCAGTCTCTCTCATTGCTTTGCTTTTATCCTGCAGATCATCACTGGCATTAAGTAGGTTTTCAATCTAAGGGTGAGTTTCTAGTAGAGCTAAACCTAATCTGATAGTAAATATCCAGAAAGAGGTAGGTAATTTGGATGAACAATCATACATACATATATAAAAACACACACAAAATCCACAGAACACAAACTAAAAGCTAGAACTGTGCTAAGATTTCAACAAATTTATGGTCTAATGTTTATCTGTCATCGCAGAATTTTTCAAACATTTCATCATTCTTACATAAATCTGATTGTCACTAACCCCCTTATATGAAACTTCCAATGCTTATAACTCCCCCTCAAAATTTTATGTATGTATAATTTCACTTTTTTTCTCTATCTAGACTAAGAATTTTTTTTTCTTTTTTCAGATGGGGGTCTCACTTTGTCATCCAGGCTGGAGTGCAGTGGCTTGATCTCGCCTCACTGCAACCTCTGACTCCCATACTCAAGTGATCCTCCCACCTCAGCCTCCCAAGAAACTAGGACCACAGGCATGTGCCACTATGACCAGCTACTTTTTGTATTTTTGGTAGAGACGGGGTTTTGCCATATTGTCCAGGCTGGTCTCGAGTAATCTGCCTGCCTCGGCCTCCCAAAGTGCTAGGATTACAGGCATGAGCTACTGTGCCCAGCCACTAGACTGTTAAGATTTTGAAAGCCAAGTTAGTGTTCTATTTTATCCAGCTTTCCATAAAAGACAAAATAAAAAAAAATTCTCATTCTATTATTTATGAAGCATACCACAACTGTTCATACTTTCCTGTTGTTTAAAATCTTTTGTACACAGTTAATATAAAACTCTTCAAACATCATCTGAATAAATCTCCTCTCATATCTTTTCACATGGTCCTGCATGTGACACCCATCTTCACCAGAGGCATCTTCCTATATTCATTCAGCCTTTTGTGAAAACCAAAAATTCTGGAGCTTGACAATACCCCCATCCACTCCAGTTGCATGAGAAGTACCTCAGTTAAAAACTCAAACTCACAGAAAATGTCATTTCCTTTTTACTCTAAATAACTCTTTTTGTTTTGACCGAAAATCTGCCCTTCTATTCACTTCCCCATTAGCCAATCTGGAAAGCAGTCCTGCTGTGGACTGAAAGCAGCTATAACACATCCATGCTACATGTCTCATTTTCCAGACTTTCAAAGCCCGCTCACATAAATACATCTAAGTACTTTAAAGTCACAGCTCCAATTTATGAGCTAGAAAGCAAAAGCTGTGTATGCAAAGCAGATCTCACCTTTGCAGAGGTTTCAAACCATCCGGTGAAGCCATGTTCTTTGCAGAATTGGTCCATCTGGGAAGGACTCTGGCTAGTGTCCCTGTTCTGGTCACATTTGTTAGCCAAGAGGACAGCGGGAATAGGGCTGCCATTTGGAAGATGAACTTTACTATCCAGATCACTTTTCCATTTTAAAACTGCCTCAAATGTGGAACTTCTTGATATATCAAAGACTATAAAAGCACCAACAGCTTCCTTGTAGTATACCCGGGTCATGTTGCCAAATCGCTCCTGCCCTGGATGTAAATACAGGAAAACATTAAAAACTTGTAATTCAGACAGAGTCTATATTTAGGTATAACCCCCTTTACCTGAAGAGCAATATTGTGAACAAATACCTCCCATTCCATAGCAACACAACCTGGTGTGATTAAGGCTATCCATACAGACTATGACCCATACAGCAGACGTGTCTCATAATTTGGTTTGAGTACATAATGAACTAGTTTTATGTTCTGTACAACATATTCCTCATAAAAACAAATATGACAATATTTAAAGCTACAAAGTCTGCCATTTTTTTCCTACTCCTGTCCCCTTAGTCTAAGAGAAGAGAGGCACTGAAGGAAAACACGAAGCTGGAAGTAGAGGAGAGAGAGACTAGAATAGAAGAAGTGAGGCCTGCAGGAAGCAGATAAGTGCAGTGGGCAACATCCTAGTCGAATAGATTAGGGATGGACATAAGATAAAGTAGCTTGTGTTTTCAACTCAACTCTCCTTCATATCTCTAGCCCATACCCACTTCTGACTCAACATGCAACGTTTCACTCCTGTAAGTAGACACATGAAAATCCATTTCAGAACAAAAAGCACAACTGGTTGTGTTATTACAAGAAGAATCAATTTCTGAGTTCTTCAAATATCATTGTACTTCTAAAATAAATTAATTTAACTTATTTTAAACACTTTGGGAAAAATCTGCTTTGTACATTATATAGGACTTTACAAAGCATTCTCTTACTGTCTGCTACTGTACTAATCTTTGGCATAGGAAAGACCCTTCTTTTCATGTGACAGATGTAGCAACAGGCAAAGGGATGCTTGGCCGGGATTACAGTAGCACTGACTAAAGACAGGACTAGAATCCAGGTCTTCTGACTCCCACACACCTATAGATGTAGGATGTTAGCCTTTCTGAACTACCTTGCAGTTTGCTTGACTTAATTACTGACTACAGTATGAATAAAAAATTATTGGCAATCAATGCACATCTAAGATTTATCACTTTGTTCTACGATAAAGACACTTTCCTCTTGAAACACATGAGCAACAGGCTTTATCTACATTTTATTGATACATTTTATCTGCAGAGATGAAAAGATACCCCAAAATATAAAATTATTCTTTCTCCAAACTCTACAATGCAATATAATTTTATATATTATTTTAGGGAATAATGCAAGAAGAATAAAACAATGGTCAAAATGAATGGATAGTTAAAGTTTCTTTGTTTTGTGATGACTCCTCATATGGTTTAATTGAAGCTGTATTGTAATAGTCCAAAGGTCTAAATTTTACTGGAACAAATGGTCACATATGAAACCCCACTATTATGTTCATATCTTATTGTAATGCAAATCTAACCTATAGGTCATTGGCTCATAATTCTGACATGTATAAAAACTTACATGATATGTCAACCGTTGAAAATTACTATTCTACAGAAAGGCTCTATATGCATTGAAATGATTCACACTCCAATTTAGAATGTAAGGCACACATTACCAATCACTTCCATTTTTATATATTTTAATTATTGAATATGAAAGGACTAAGTAACAAGATACAACAGTCTCAAATTAAGAAAGATTGAAAAATTAAGAAACCTAGAAGTTAACAAAGAGTTGTTAAACGTTACTGACTGTTGCTTTTTTTTTTTTTTTCTGCGAATCATCTGTAAATTTCAAGTATTTCCTCTTGCTGGTAAGTCTTATACAAATATTTACTCATATAAGCTTTCTGGCAAAGCACAAGAAAATCAGAAATGTCTATGACAAGTAATTTTAAAAGAAGACCCTGTGGCTTAAAAATGTTAAAATTAATTTTTTTTAGGTCCCAAGATTAGGATTCAAAATTCCATGGCAGTCCTGACATCAGAGTGTAGTTTTTAAACAACCACACTACATGGCAAATCAAAGTGTCAATTAGATGGTTAAGTAAATGAAAACAAAAGGCAATGACTTGGATAAAAAATGCAAACTGGGTACAAAGTGCTTGTACCCAGAATATATAAAAACTCTGAAGACTCCAAAATAAGAAGATAAAAAACTCAACTAACAATGTAAGCAAAAGATTGGAACAGATAGTTTACTAAGAAATATATATGATGAAAAAATAAGCGCAGGAAAAGATGTTCAACATCATTAGTCATTGAGGAAATGCAAATTAAATCACAGCATGACACTTGACACCCACAAGAACGGCTAAAACTAACAAGTCTTACTATACCAAGTGTTGATAAGGATATGGACAACTGGAACTCTCAAAGTCACATTCATTATTTTCACAGATGCCAAATAAAATGTCAGTCAACAGATTAATGGATAAACTATTGTTTGGTTATACAACAAAATACAGCTCAACAACAGAAAGGAAAAGAACAAAACCATGGATACAAGCAACAACGTGGATGTATCTCAAAGTCACTATGCTTTGTAAAAGAAGACAGATCAGTGAGCAGGTGGGTAATATAGCACAAGTTCATTTATATCAAATTGTAAAAACTGCAAACTACGACAATACAGTAAGAGAAAGCAGATAAATGGTTGCCTTGGGAAAGGAAGGGGTATATATTACAAAGGGGCAAGAGAAAAACAACCTTGAGGCTGGGCACGGTGGCTCAAGCCTGTAATCCCAGCACTTTGGGAGGCCGAGGCAGGTGGATCACGAGGCCAAGAGATCAAGACCATTCTGGTCAACATGGTGAAACCCCGTCTCTACTAAAAATACAAAAAATTAGCTGGGCATGGTGGTGCTGTGCCTGTAATCCCAGCTACTGAGGAGGCTGAGGCAGGAGAATTCCCTGAACCCAGGAGGCGGAGGTTGCGGTAAGATGGTGCCATTGCACTCCAGCCTGGGTAACAAGAGTGAAACTCCATCACAAAAAAAAAAAAAAAAAAAAAAAAAAAAAAAAAAAAAAAAAAACTTGAGATGATGAAAATATCTGAAGCATGGACTTTAGTGATATAAAAACTTTTCAAATTGTACTGCTTATTGTATGCCAATTATACCTCCATAAAAGTATAAAAAATAATACCTACCTCTGAGGGCAACTGAGAAGGTTAAACTTAAAGTCCCTGCCCAAGTCTTCCAGAGCAGTTTGAGGAACTATAGCCAATGGCCTAATTCAGCTAAATAAAGTTTTACTGGAATTCAGTTACCCTTATTTGTTTACATATTGTCTATGTTTGTTTTTATCCTACAAAGGCACAGTTGAGTAGTAGCCACATAGATGAAATGTCCTACAAAACCTAAAATACTTGTTATCAGGTTCTTTTACAGAAAACATAGCTGATTTCTATTTTAGGATGCTAAGAATATTCTGTATCTTGAACTGGAGGTGGTATATAAAAATTCATGAAGGTATCCACTTAAGGTCTGTGCACATTAAGTTGTATTTCAAGTTCAAAACAGTGTAAAATACCAGATAAGCCCTGCGTATATGTCAGCTATTAAGTGCTCAACAAGTTTAATGATTGATGAAAGCATGAGTATGCTTTTTAAAAATGGTGCCAATTGGCCAGGCTCTGTGACTCACACCTGTAATCTCAGCACTTTGGGAGGCCGGGGCAGGTAGATCACAGGGTCAGGAGTTCAGGACCAGCCTAATCAATATGGTGAAACTCCATTTCTATCACAAACACAAAAACTAGCCAGGCATGGTGGTGCGAGCCTGCAGTCCCAGCTACTTGGGAGGTTGAGGAAGGAGAATTGCTTGAGCCAGGAGGTGGAGGTAGCAGTGAAGCAAGATTGAGCCACTGCACTCCAGCCTGGGTGACAGAGTGAGACTCTGTCTCAAAAAAAAAAAATGGTGCCAATTAAACGTGAAAGTTTTAAAATATTAGCTCGTTATGTGCTATACCTTGTAATGGTAAAAATGGTTTGCAGGGAAAAACTAACTGGATAAAAATTCAACTATACCAGGGATTCAAAATTCCAAGCACTCAACATTCAAGCAACTTTAGGCAAGAAACTTTTGTGGCTTAGCTATGCCAATTGGTCTCAGGGATCTTTAGGGATCATCTAAGTCCTCCTGGCTCTAACATTTATTTTAGGTTCCTGTATTATAACTTGAATGTTATACTGATTTTCTATATATTCTACAATCACTGAATCCAGAGAGCAATGGGAACAAAATGTAAATGACCCAGTATTAAGAGGCCAAGACCATGTATTTAGGGAAATAGTTTATTTTCTAAAAGAATAGTAAAATGTTCTATTTTAATGAATTTGTAATCTTTTTTTAAGAAATTCTTAATTAATCCATTAATGCTTCAGAGATATTCTCAAATGGGTACAGTAAGTAAAAAACAAAAATTTCCAAAACACATTAGGTTTAATTAGAGAGTGAAAAAAGATATGAGGAATTTAAAATAATAATTGTAACAAAATTAAGGGTTGCTCTCTAAAAACCTAAGTAGGTGTAACCTATATTTAGCTATGTTGCTTCAAAGATTTACAATGCATAGATATGCTAAGTTTCCCCGGTTGTAAAACTAATGTAAATCATGTACAAAGCACCATTTTTGCTCATCTACCATCTTTTGAAACTGAGATTAAATAAATCTGTCACGTAAAAGAGTAACACAACTGAATGAAGAAAAAAATAGGAAAATTACTGCAGATGATGCTTAAGAAAACTATCTGGATAGAAGAGAGTGAAAATAATGGGAAAGAGGAGAATACATGGCCATCTGTCAGAAAGACTCTATTAGAGCCTTAAGCTAAACCCCTGCCATCCGTTTATTTTCATGTTGGTCTGTCTTTCTCAAGGACAGTGAAAGAATAGTGAAGACACTAGATGTTTGTAGCCTACTCAACCATTAAGAAGTACAAAAAACATTTGAAAACATAAATGAATAATATAATTCTAAAACGCTTTACCTTGCTCTTCTGCCTTACCCTCCAGAAGTCTCCCCACATTTATATCTATGCATCTTTTTTACCATCCAAGAGAAGATCTCTACAAACGTAAGACAACTTAAACTTGTGGATGTGGCCCCCTCTCTATTACTTA